GGCGGTTTCTGGAAGCTTCTGAGGCGAGCGCCAGGGAGTGCGTGTAGGGCCGCGTCCGGGCGCCGGCCGTGCTGGTGGCGTGAGGTTAGCGGGTTATTTTGTGGGAGTAGAGCGTGAAACTTAAAGCAGAATATGAAGGAGGCTGGGGGAGGGAGGGAGTAAAGCAAAACGTACAGTTTCTTCGTAGACTTCCACCTTTCACTGAGCTCTTCTTTGTACTGCGCTTGTGACGTGGGCTTTTAAAGTAAAGACTGACCAGAAGGAGGGGGGTTGGGATAGTGAGTTGATTGGTTTTTTAGGGATGTGTGGATCAGGCTTGTGTTAAGCACAGGCAATCTTTTACCGTCTGGGACATCCTTCTTAAGGCAGCAGTTTTGGGTGAGAGGGTTAGTGTCCTCTTGGATACTTCTTGATAAGGTAAATAGCATTAGGTAGAGGATTTGAGCAAACGTTTGTTGGTACTTAATTCTTACTAGCAAAGTGGGTATGTTATGAATGTGTTGGGAGAGCCAGCCTTTTACATGGGTATGCTTTGTCCTTGATACTATAAATTATTGTTAAAACTGAGCATTTATGCAGTTTTTTAACCTGGTAATGTTTGCTTGGAGCACTTCTGGATCTCTTATTTCAGGGCCTACCAGTTACTTGGCTCAATTACTTTAACATTTGGAATTTAGAATTTAAGTGGAAATGTGACAGGAGACCTTGCAAGCTCTTTGAAATGAAATTTTCTATAATAACTAATTCTAGTCGTATCATATAACTTAATATGTATGTTATCTGTATGGCTATTTAGATTAGCCATTAGGAAGAAAATTTCACCGTGAGGGTGCTTGAGGCGCTGGCCCCGAGTGCCCAGCGAAGCTGTGGCTGCCCCATCCCTGGCAGCGTTCAAGGCCAGGTTGGACACAGGGGCTTGGAGCAACCTGCTTTAGTGGAAGGTATCCCTGCCTGTGGCAGGGGTTTGGAACTGGATGAGCTTTAAGGTCCCTTCTAACCCAGACCAGGCTGTGATTTTGTAGGTCACTTAATGGTTTTGCACTTCTTAGAGAGATTAGGAGAGGTTATTTATTCCTCTCGCATGTTATTCCTAAAATGGAAGTGTTTATTTTTGAAGTGTTTTAAGGTAGGTCTATGTATCTCATAGTACAGTACTGTCTTTCAGACATAGGAGTATGCTTCTGTCACATGGTACAAAGGTTATAAATACAGTTTCAGCTTTTTCATTTGATTTGTAGAACTCATTAAGAACTTGCCAACAAAGTTTCAGTTGACAAGCAGGTATTCTTCATTGCAGCACTGGGAGACATAGGGCATATGTCCTCCGAATGTGTGTCTCGTTTAAGCATCAAACAGACCGTGATTATATTGTTGTTTAACATGCATATTCATTACATTTCTGACAGATGTCATACATACGCATTAGTTGTCCAAGAGTTGTTTCACATCGTTCCAAGCCTATTTTCGCATGCGCATAACAACATGGTAGTGGTCTTTGGTGGTCGTTTTACTTCTTCCAACAATCTTCATCACTTGGCCGTTCCTTGAACTCTTGTTCTGGAAATCTTTGAAACATGCGCAGTAGATAAACGTTTACATCAGCTTAATTAGTTTGGTAACACCGCTGACATAAGCGAGTGATTTCTCCTCGTCCTTCTACTTATCAGTTGACTTTGCTACAGCACCTCCTGAACATTTGCTGGTTTCAGATATTCCTTAGCTACAGTCCTGTTTTGATTACAGTAAGTTTTGTCCGAAGGTCATAAGGTTCTAAACTGTCAGCTACAATGATTTATCTTATACAGGGATCCTTTTATTTAATGTTATGTTGGGCTTTTTAGGTTTGGAAAGTTTTGTTGTTATGTATAAAGCCACCAATCTTAAAGGTACTTAAAACTGAATTTTCTTATTTACAAAGGATTACATTTCATTTTGTACTTCCTTGTCTCAAATTGTAGTGTCAAACTGGGAATAATTAGCACCATCTCTTAGCAAAGCATATTGCTTATTATGACCACAATGTAGATGTATTGATTTTTACATAGTATGCCTGGGGACAAGTAGCAAAAACCCATAGGCTTGCTTTAGGCGTGTGCTCTTTATATACACTTCAAAACAAGTGACGGTTTTAAAAATGGTTGATTACACGTTTTATGTTCTTTTACAGTAGTTTGGAGGAAAACTGTCTGAAAAATATGGAAGTCTTTGTATTAAAGGTATGATGGCAATTTTTAAAGTCCTAAGGATTGCTTTTTATTTCAGCATAGTTCTACAGAAGCCAGATTTACAAGTAAGATGCTGCCTCTGTATTTCCCTTCAGCAGGCTTTTA